TGATGTGACGTGCGGCAGCGGCGCCGCGATCACGTGGTTGCGCCGTTGTGTCACCGGGTCGCCACGTGACGCGGCCTCTGCGGCATCCTCTCGCTAATGACAGCTTTACGCGTTCCCGGACCGCTGACGTCACAGCGGGCTGTGACGTCACGCATTGTTGTGACACCCGGCAAAGGCGCAGCCGGCAGAGTAAGGTCAGAGGACGGCAGAGGCGTCCTTCGACCGAGGAACCGACCGCGCCTCTGGCAAACGTACTCCTGCCTGACGGGAGGCTAAGCAGTTGACGTCACATTCGGCAGTTTGCACGTGCAAGAGGTCGTGCACGTCTGGAGCGAGGGAGGGGCCTGCGGCCGCACCCTCTGTATGACGTCACTCCGTAGGGGCGACCAGAGTGGTGAAGCGGCCACGCTGGTGGGTTTGCGGTCGGCTGGTGGGTGGCGCGGATAACACCAGCTCGCTTCAGCGATCTGTCACCATGAGGAAATATTACGCCAGTTACGCCAGTGGACTGTGACTTATGCGTTTGTTCCTAGTTCGTGACCTGGCTGCGTTCGCCCCAGAACCCGAGTGATGCGGTCGTTGGCCGATTTTGGTGATAAGGTGGCACTCTACCCGTGGGGCCAGGCGTTTCGTGTTCACATTTGTCTGGATAATATATTGTCATCCATCATATTGTGCAAGATGTTGTGACGCAGTGTTTACCGGCTTCATAGGGCTTGGGAGCCGGCCCGCTCTATTGTGGAGCCTTACCCCTCGCCGGGGATGGAAATGGGATGTCGCCGCGGCCTATCCTGGTCTGACCCAGTGCTGCTACAGGTTTAAAAAGCTTCCTGCTGTGATTGCATGCTCGGAGAGACTTGTGATTCTAGTCTAAATCCCTTTGAAATAAGGCTTTAGAGACCAGGGAATGAATGTCTGAAAATACTATGGCTATGAAAAAGTCACGCGAGCATGGCTTACAACCGCAACACTAATGTAATAAATTAATTTTGCTGACGGATATGGTCTCTCCTGCTGGCAGCCACCATCACTACAGATGTGTGGTCAAATGATTTCACGCGGCCTTGGAGAAACGTATCAAGTTTGTCCATAAGTGTGTGCTAGTCTTTTTTTGTTGCGCAACTTATGTTAAACATGCAAATAAACCGGTAAAAAGCTCAGAACCTCATCTGTCGTCATCGCCGTGTATCTAGGCAGACGCACTGTATATACGCCACCGTAGATAAGTCGATCACCCTTACAGCTCGGAAAGTGCTTTCAGATGCAAATGACTTCTGTCGACATGAATTTGGGGAGATCCTTACCGCCGTGTCCTTGGAGAATCACCTGCTCTATCTGTGGCCTTTCTCTGTACATTCCCTTTTAGTCGTCTTTCAGAAGCATTGTCGATAAAAAACAATCTCATTTACGGTTGTGGCGTAACGTCGGCGGCAGTGCCATGTCTTTCATTATCACCGACGCGATCGTTTTATAGCTGTCTTAATAGGGCCACTGGATCAGAGTCCCTGGTTCACTTCCTGTTCTCCGAGTTTCGGCACGGCAAGGAATCTACATTCCGCGCTTCCTAAGACACGCTGTCAAGCAGCTCGTCAGCACGCATGCCAGCCATTCTATCTGTTTTCAGGCGAATGCCACGCAATGCCACGGGAGGCAAACCATTTCCTTGGTTGTCACCTCCGCTTCCTGGGCCGGTCTTTCCGCTTCGCTGCTGTTATTCCGCATCCGCCCCGGTCTCCTTCCTCTTTGGTTCAGGATGCAGCGCACAGGACTCTGACAGGAGCTGTGCCGCAATGTGATGGCGCGAGCAGACGGCGGCACGCTTCCACGCTGGCGCCGCGCCATCAGGGCGAGTATCGCACCGGCAGCGCGAGCGACGCTTGAACGCTGTGTGCCACAGCAGGCGACAGCGCAAGCGACCCCTGCACGCCGTCTGTCCCAGCAGATGCCAGCCGCACTTCACCCGTGCCCATCGCTAAAGCATGCTGGGAGGCTCAGCAGTGAACATGCGCCTGCAGCCTCAGCAAATGGCACCGGCGACTGCAGTCAGCTGATGATGGGGAGGCGCGCCTTTTCAGCGCGCTCGAGTTGTTGGCAAAACTTAACGAGAAGGTCGCCCTCTCGCTGCGGCTCAAGACGACTCAGTCCTGCGCGAGGCCTCGGCTTCTGGCGCTGCCTGTGGTCCCTGCCTTGCCGAGAGTCCGCCACGCAGACGCCGGCGCTCGCCAGCAAGCGAGGCGGAACTCGGGCGGCGAAAGTGACAGCTGACACCGAGTCGGCCGAGGGGACGGGGAGTGGGCCGCAGCCGCGGCTCCGGCGGGCCGCGCGGCGGCGCGCGCGATGCGTGGCCCATGTCAGTCAGGGCCGCTGGACCACACCGCCGGCGGCAAGGCAGCCGCAAAGCCTCACGCGCGCGCGCGCAAGGAAACCGGACGCGGTCCGGAGACGATGGAGAGACTGACCCTGGGTGGCGGGAGGGTGAAATTTAACAGGATGGGGAGAGGTGCGCCGAGTGGTGCTCTCGCCTTGGAGCCGCCGTAGCCGGGGTCGGTTTGAGAGCACGGGACTTGGTGATGCATCCTCTTCTGAGGATATGCGTCCTCTGTCCTCAGTCAGTTGTCTCTGTGTGCGCTCAGGCACACAAAGGCCACTGATGGCGGTGGAGAACACGGCGCAGAGGTTTTTTGCTTAGCGACAATCGTGGCGACTTGCGACCGGACGGCGTCTCCGGATCGAATTCCCAATGAATATAAGGAACTGGGAGTCACGTGGAAAATTGCCTGCCAACCGCCTCGTCAAAAATGGGAGATCCTTCCGACCTTGGAGCCATGACGCAATAGTATCGTGTATCAGCGGCACGAAAACGCAGTGTCGGTTAGTGGCAGTCCGCGGCCGGGTTAATTATTCACTATGACGTCACTGGTGCGAAGCCGGCGGCAAGGCGGACCACTTGGCGCGGTGCCAAGAGGCTTCGATGCGGGTCAACAGGGAGCCACGGGCGCTGTTAGGTGCCGGCCGTGTGTGGCACGGAGGCCGGCGCCGTGTCCGAGGAGTGGGTCAGGGGGTCAAGGGATCACGGTACACACCAACCAGGGATCACGGTACACACCAACCAGGGATCATGGGTAGACAACTGAGCGTGCGAGACCGCTTAGGCATAGGATAGGTTATGAGCGTTTAGGATAACGAAAGGACCAATGTCAAACATTCCTGGGATAAAGGCATTGGGGTCGGGATTTCAGCTGAAGTAGGTCTATGAGTCAGGACGTTCTGGACACAAAAGAATGATGGGCGTAATGTGTAAGGACCTAGGTTGGAGCGTCGCATCTAATACATTACCGCAGACACTATCCGCAAGCATGCCCAATGCTTTGGTGCTGTGTACACCTGGCATCGGAGAAGCTAAATCTAGAAAACAGCTGGCTATGCTGTCTTCCAACAAAATAAAATTTAGAAAAAAACGCTGATGTCAGTGGTATGCAAAGTTTTGGAAGGATCCAGCCAGAGGGAATATAGAGATGGAAGGCAAAAAATAAAACGCCGAAGAAAATACTGGTGAATCGCGGGGAGAAACGAGCCAAAAAAACAAAATGCTTTAGAAGATAATTTTTCCGACTTGATCTTCGGATGTATCACCTAGCACAAGGTGAAATGTTTTGAACTCGGCACAAGCAGTCTTAGTCCGATTCGCTCCCACGTGAGTATAAATGTGGCGGCGGCTGCGGCTGAACCGGCAACGTTCGCTGGACTGCTCGAGGCACTCTTGCGTCACTAACCGCGAATATGACAGATGTCGCTGGCAGCATCTCCACACGCCAGTGGCGGACAGTGTACGCCGCTGGGCGCATCTCTATACGCTAGCAGTGTCTGCACACGTCAGTGGCGGACAGTGTACGCCGCTGGGCGCGTCTCTATACGCTAGTAGTGTCTGCACACGTCAGTGGCGGACAGTGTACCGCTGGGCGCGTCTCTGCACGCCGTCGGCATCGGCCGGGAGTCCTTTAAGCGCCTTCCAGCGGGTCGAAGCCCGCCATTGACGAGGTCTGAGCACCCTTGGCACCTCTCCAGGACGACTCAGGCGACCTGCCCAGGTGCTTCTGCCCTTTGCCGGCAGGACGGCCCGGCGAGAACAGACCCACGCAGCCCATCCCGCCACTGTTACAACCAGGAAATCCTGCCTGAAGCCAGGCGCGTCTCCGGCCAGGAACCGGCGCCACCCTCGCCGTGGGCGGCGTTGGCGGCGTTGGCGTCGACTCTCCGCGAAGGGGTCCGCCGCTGGCCGCTGTGACGTAACGTCGGCCGGACGGACACGCCCTGAGAACGGTCGCTTTCTTCTCGCGCCGTTCGACGCCGCGCGCGCCCTTCTGCCGGCGGCGGCCCCCGGCGCGGGCGCGACCCCACCCCAAAATGGGCGCCAGTTGTGGCGCAGGCAGACGAGGCGTGGCGCAATCGTCGCGCGGCGCGGGTGCGGGCTCTGCGACGAGCGTGGCGCACGGGTGACGAGAGCGGCACCGATCCAGTGAAGGGAAAGCGGAAGGACTGCGGGTCGTTGGAGATATCGGCGGAGGTGGTGCCCCACTGAGCCCATGGAGCCAGATGGCGTGCGATGCGGTTGCTGACAGTGTTGTGGAATGCATGTGTGCCCTGGTGTGCGGTGCTGGTCATGCGAAACTCAGCAGCGTAGCTTTGGTCACTGGCGCTCGTGCCGCTTCTTCCCAAATAGGCTGAGTTTACTCCGAATACGTACAGTGGCTCAGTCCAGGCGTGTCTAGGCGCTGTCGGGCTTCATACACACTGAACTCACCCGGACTTCATTTCAATCGCTGGATTTGCCGAGACACATCCGAATCCATGCGTCCGCCACTGGAACTCCATGGTGGGGCTGCTCGAGGCTGCTGACCCCGACACGCGACAACATTCGAGTCTCTGTTTGCCGCGCAGGCACCATCTGGCTGTCGGCGACCTCCAAGCGACCTCCCACCATTTCCCCGCGACAGACTTACCTGAGTGTTTGGATTTCTCCAGCTGCGTTTTTACACGTGCCGCAGCCACGTTGATGGCGTTCTCCACCTCGCCGTCTTCAAAGTGCACGTGTGCCGGGTGCGCGTGCTGCTGGCACGTGACGGCGGCGCACAGCCAAAGCCATAGCGTCCCCACCAGCCATCTGTGAACGGAAGAGACGGAAGGTGTCAGCGCCGTCAGCGGCGGCGACGGCACCTGAAGAGGCTCCGGCGGCAGGGTGTCCGGCGGGCTCGCTTCTTCTGGCGTGAAGGACATCGATGGGACGTTCGTCACGGTTTTGCACGCACGAGGAAAGCAGCGTGAAGCGCCCCGCCGGCGTTGGTTTCTGATGGCGGTAACCGTTTGATGTTTGGGTGTTGTGCTGCTGGCTGTTGATTACAACGGCACTTGTTTGCTTTCGAAGCTCAGTGCCGGCAGCTTCTTACTAAAAGATTGTGGGATGAAGCTAGGCCGTTTAATAACACCTACGAACGTTTTTAGGTTACGTTTTGAGACTCTGATGCATTGTAGGATGAAAATTTTTCTTCTATCTGGCAAGGCAATGGAAGCGGTACCCGATCTGTGTGAGGGGCCATGATATAATAGCATGCAATCGGTCAACTCGCAATCACTTTTATCCAATCCGCCTGCTCCACGCGGGGTTTCAATCACATCCATCCACCAACATTACTAAACAACCCTACCCATCCGTTGGCCGCCGGCTTACCATTCTGCTTGGATTGGGCTCTATATAAAGCAAGGATTAAGAGCGCCTTGCACTTCTACTCAATGCATATGTGTGCGGCTGGCACAGTCATTCGTGATGTGTTCAAGAGGTATGGCTGCAGTGAGTCGCCATTGAGATCTGTGTGCTATATTTTGTTAATTGCGTTTCATCCAGTGGCTCTATCATAAACCCTATACTATTACATGTTTTTTTTTCATTTTCACTGTTCATCGAAAGGGTGATGCTTAAACACCTTAGTGGAGGACAATGTATGGCAAAATGTGCATGAGACTGCAATAGCTCTACCTTTTATCACAGTCAACATGCACACAGACAAGAACTGCATTCAGGTCGCTGCATCAACAGCGATGGGTGATTCAAGCAACTCGACGAGATGGCACAAAAACAGCAACAAAAGCTGCCGATTTATCTCAGAGTACTTTGCTAGGCCTCATAAATGACACGCGCAAATAGCCTATTGTTCGTTTCAGCCATTCAAAGATGAACGCATTGGTTGCGATAAGCTGCACACATTCCGCATGAGAACTGCGGTGAGCTCAGGCTAACCAGCTCGCTAGCTTGCTTGCTAGCTAGCTTGCTCGGGCTAAAGTACAACTAAGGTGCTGAGTGCAACGTTCATCGAGCTTTATTGAGGTGCGCATGCAAGGCTTATGTTTGTAATGAGCAGCGCCAGTAAGCAAGGCGGTTCCGCAGTTGCCATGAGTGATTTTTAACATGCACGATCCCACTCATCCGTCGTAAGACCGACTGAACTTGACCGAAATCCAACGAAGACCGGTCTGATGAGTAAGCTAGATGAGCGGGAGCGCTAGCCATAAGTGCGCACTTAGAAGTATACTGATCAGCTCGCACGTGACAAGAAAGGTGTAAGTCGACCGGGCCAACCGGTAAATCATGTACTTTCGCATGCCTTTTGCAATAAGCGTAGCAAACTTACTGCGATCTAACATAGTAAAATATCTAGGTGGCCCAAGCAAGAGTTCGCACGCGAAGGAAGACGGCAATCCCGGACGCACTATCGCACTCGGACGGACTCGGCGAGCCCCCACCACCCGTCCCTACCGCCCCCTCTCCTAATCACACATAGCCGGAGGTCCCGCCGGCGTCCTTCGTGCGTCTGCGCGGCCGGCCGCACGAGTCGACCGCAAACGGGAGAGCTGCACCAGCCGCGCTCTCGACCGCCGCCCCTGCCGCCACAGCCAGCGTGCTCAGCTGGGGTGAAGCTGCCGGCTCCACACCGAGCAGCGACCTTCGGCCACTCATCAGCGGTGCTGCAGGTGCGCCAGCACGAGGTCGGCCACCGGCTGGGCGCCGCATGACCGCGTCGCCGGCGTCGAGCGTGGCGCGAGACCAGGCGCCATTGGTTGAATACGGGGAAGGCAGCGGTGCACCTCAATCGTGCGCGGTCCGTGCACGTGAAGCGTGCATGCAATGGCGCCAGGCGCATTAACTTGCCGTAAATTTTAATGATATGCACGGCGAACTGAAGGATAAGCCGAGGACATTCAAAGTAAGAATATCTGACGGTCGTGGTAAGCCATGCGCATGCCTGCTCTCACATTTGACGCAGCATTGTGAGCTGTGAGAAAGTGAGCGCGATTAGCCGTCTCCAGGATCTAAGACGAAACCGAGGCATGCTGTCAACCGGCGCGCACACAGAACTTCCCTGGAAGAAAACCGGACTCGAATAGGCTGCTGATGGAAACCAGTATGCTGGCCAATTTTGTTACCAGTAGACGCAAACCGTACAGTTCTTTGTTGTCTTGTCTGGAGCCTCCAGATGTTTTTTTTTTTGTAACTTTCGATGCGGGCTTTTTACAGACGTTTTGCCTTATGCGCACTGGTGTTTTAAGCTCACTGAATTTCGTCACATTGAAGTAAGCCACGCGGATAAAGAAACACGCTAAAAGTATCAGATCAGTCCCCCCTCGGCGCATATGGGTCCCGTTCTCTCTCAGAAAGAGGCACAGCCCGTTTACAACCCCACATGGTGCGCCCTTAGGAATCACTCGCAACTGAGTCACCCGGTTGCCCGCACTTTTAACACCATGTACATCGGCGCGCGGAGTCGAAATAGGTCGGCACAAAGCGAGCGAAAGCTTGAGTGACGTCAAATGGGTCGAGCTTTCGTCTCTCTTTAACTCATCCTGCAGCGGTGTGCTACTTTTGTGATGGCACATGAATTCCGGGCATCGTCCATTGCTTCGCCCGGGATGCCCTCACATGCGATGGATTTAATATCTTTAAAGCATTGGTGCTGAAAGGAGGCACCGCGAATCGTTGAGTTGATGCCAGTGTCCGAACAGTGTTCGAATCCCGTGCATTTCTACGGCGGGAGATATTCTGTCCGGTTCATTCCCCCGTTCTGAACTGTTTTCTTGACCTGGCCCGTCCCGGTCATTTGCTTTAGTATCACTTCTCTCTCAGTCCTGGGTGCCATTGGATGCCGGGTGTCCCGGGTGTCGTGTGCCGCCGCCTCCTGCCTCGGTCCGACGCTCAGGCCCGCCGCTCAGTCCCTCCAGACCCTCCACCCCTCCCCGCCCCTCGGGCGGCCGGAGCGGGTCCGCCTGCTGCCTCGGTCCGACCCTCAGGCCCGCCGCTAGGTCCCTCCCGACCCTCCACCCCTCCCTGCCCCTCGGGCGGCCGGAGCGGGTCTGCCTGCTGCCTCGGTCCGACGCTCAGGCCCGCCGCTAGGTCCCTCCCGACCCTCCACCCCTCCGTGCCGCTCGGGCGGCCGGAGCGGGTCTGCCTGCTGCCTCGGTCCGACGCTCAGGCCCGCCGCTCGGTCCCTCCAGACCTTCCACCCCTCCCCGCCCCTCGGGCGGCCGGAGCGGGTCCGCCGGCGGCCCCGGACCGAGTTTCACTATGATGTCACCGCTCCGCCGGTGTTGCAACTTTCAAGCGCGACGCTCCGGCCGCGGCTGCCGCCCCTGCCCTCCCGCCCTCACCCCCACCGACGGTGAGCGGGGAAGCGCGCCCCACGCACTGTCCCCTAAACGGGTCCCCTGTGCACAAGGCCGCGGCGTGTGCGGTGTTGCAAGCGTTGCACTTTCGCGGCCGCGGGCGCCGCCGGCCGCCCTGGCTCTGGGGGAAGCGACGCCACTTGCACAACGCGCCCCCTCGGCTGGAGGGGGGGGGGGGAGCGGATGTGCCAGCGCAGAGATATGCTAAACGGATGCGGACGACGTAGACGGCAGGCTGCGGCGTATCGATGAGGATGTCGCTCCGACGCGCTGGAGCGAGACCGCTCCGCAACGCCGCTCTGAGGTACACGAAATACGACTCGGTTCTCTTTTAAAAAGGCTCGCTTCCTTTTAGGTCGTGTTACGATTGAACTGGTACCAGATGCTGTGCGTTAGCATTTCGTGACTAGAAGGCGGCGCGGGACCTGTCAGTGACGACAGCTCCCCCGCCGAGGCCGCCTGGACGCGCTCCTGATCACGACCAGCCCACCCAGCCGTGACAGGCACGTGCCGGGCGTCACGTGCATCGCTGCCGTCAACGCGTTGCAATCCGCAATGTTGCAACAACTGCACCGGCGTCACCATCGCGCGAGAGAATGTCTTGGCCGCCTTGCCAGGCAGAGGACTTCAGAGCAGATGCACGGACATCGGACGTCCGCGTGACCGGGCCACGACACGGGGTGCCACGTGACATCTGATACACCAGTCATGCCCCCCCCCCCCTCCCGCGACTCTTGGTTCTACGAGGCTTGTCTCCTGTCGCGGTGGGCGGTTTTATGTCCAGCATTACGTTGGCTCTGGGTGGTTGGGTAATGCAGCACAGGCTGGGCAAGAGCGCTTTGTGTTGTAGTGACTGGGTAGTGCTCTAAGGGAAAGTGTCCATACGTCGCCCCCAAATCTATGTCTGTGACCGTTGCGCAATGACCCTTGGTTCAGGACCAAAGCAGGATCAGGAATTGGGGGATTGAGGACATTACGTGGATGATGGCCGGCGTGAAATACGGCCACAAAAAATGTCATAACAGGTGAAGGGCAGAACCTTTTGCGTCATAATATGTCCCGCGACATTTTCAGCCTTCAGACCAAAATAGCATCTACCGCAGAAGTAAAAAACGATTGTAAACAGAGAATATAGTATTTTAGAAATGAATGCATTTTGTCAGTGCTTCAACTTTTACATAACGGAAAACAGCGTTTTTAAAGAACCAACTACATGCTAATTTTAATTGAGTTAGACTTGAATAGTGCGTACTGACGTCCTAAGATGCTTTAGAACACCTATGCGTCCTGTGAAACGCATATCATAAAAAGACCATCGAAATCGAGGCATCGAAAACAACAGTTGTGTCCAGTAACATATCGACCATCGAAATCGAGGCATCGAAAACAACAATTGTGTCCAGTAACATATCGACTTCTGTCCTGCTGCCGCTCAAACTGCCTAACACCTATCAGTGCCACAGCTCTCCAGAGTCATCAAAATCGGACTCAACCAGTTTATTAATGTTGTTTGGATTATGAGAAATAGCGAGTACCTGGGAGGACTATTTTGTGTCCACTTCCGGGACATGCATTCCTCATGTATTCGATGCATGCCCATATTGCGCACTTAGTAGGCTCAGTCATCACGCCTGAGTCAGGTATCTCACAGCTCGGTCAGGTG